GAGCTGACACGCAGTATGCTTAGAACCCAAGCGGATCTGTGTCGCATGATGGCATGCAAACCATTATTCTTTGTAGTAGAAATGTTATAACACATAATATTTCTACTACAACGAATAATAACAATAAGCGAACAATGTGTTATAACAACCTACTTATGGATAAAATGAGTGCGCTATTGACTCTCTTTCATGGAAAGTGACAATGAGACCGTCGATGGAGCATGCACGCCTATTCACTCTCACCTTGAAAAGGCCAAAATCATAAACGGGCAGGAAACAAATCTGCAAATTGGGAATTTAACTCCTCTAATGTTGAAGTGTAACGCTTCGTACTGCTGGGCTGGGATTCCACCCCTATATTGTTATAGATAGAAAGGGGATGGCAGAACTATTCCGTCGCGCACTTTCCGTGACATACCCTGTAGAATACTGATAAGCAAGCAACTTTACGGCGGTGTTCAAGGCATAGCAGCTCGCCTCTGCTAAATCCAAATCACCGACAAGTCTCTAGCCACGTTTCTTAATGGAATCCAAGGTGACCAGTTGGTATTTAGCAGATCCATTCCACAGATGGCAACAGTAATCCACACACGACAGGATTTGTGCTTGGTACTGTTGTTACTACTGTCCGGGTGTGAAGTAATGCTTCACCCTGTAAAGGATACCAAGGTTCCTTGCCGCATTCGTGGCCATGTATTTAATGTGTTTGCCGAAGTTTAAACTGGACGACAGGCCCTTTACAAGTAGTTGAAGACGTTGAAGGTCTCTGCATATCTATGTGCGCTTATGGCTACGGGCCTTATCTGGAACTATTTCTTTTTTTTATCGCAATTCAAACTTATGTTTAAACCTGAGACCATGCTTGATGCACAATGTGAATTTTAATACGAAACTATCGAAACCTTGCTAAGTCTTATTTTATAGATTGTAAATCAGTTTTAGTGACAAACTAGTGCTTCGCTATCGCTTCGCTAGTTTAGCTATGTTAGTGACTAGCACTACTAAATAACTATGATATGATGCTTCATAGATTTAGTATGTCTGTGCTGTGTATATACAATATATTCGTTTTGCATTTTGTAATGCGATTTTGCCATAATATTTTTTAAGAACAATATACTAATGTGTTAAATCATATGGCTTAAGAAATTACTTCCGATTGTGTCCAGACAATGACGGTCTCGACAAAATTAGCCAAGTCTTCGTAAGTGACTCCAAGGAGATTCTGAATTTATATAAATGAGCTAAACTGTTCTGTTCAGTTAGTGCATCTCGTCCTTGTCCTCAGCTCATTTTAACTACTAGTGATGAGTGAATCACAATTTAGCTACTATATACTACATACCTACTAAGTAAATTCTTTGATATTTACGTCAGTACTATGTGTAATGACACAATCAGCAAGACTTCTACTCTCATTAGGATTAAAAACTTTGTAGACTTCGCTGTAAGTAGCATTTTTGTTACGTGCTCTTTAACCAAAAAAGCAGGAGGTTCTCAATTCGACTGTATGTTCTTTTTTTTGTTTTTTTTTGTGTGTATGTTACGCGATAACTCCGGTATTTGTGAACCGATTTTCATGATTCTTTTTTGTTGGAAAGGGAGTATTTCCATAGTGGTCCCATTTCATTTTGAAGAAAATCATCCACCTCAAAGGGTGGCTGTTCACGCATGAAGATTCATTTTTATAAATAGCGCCTAACTTTTATTTAGGAGCAATTACTTTTAGCAATTATTTAGTTGATTTTGCTATTTCTCCAATTCAAGGCGTTTTTCCCTCGATATACTTTGGGTAGTGTCGTAGTGAGAACCTATTTTTATTATCTCCAGTATCAAGTCCTGTATAGTGGCGAACTAAGGGATATTTCAATGAAACTTAGCAAATAGATGTAATTCGATGTACTTTTGAGGTCGGTTTTTTATCAAGTATGAATTACAATCCCTGTTGACCAATGCAAAGGGTTGATGACCAATGGAGCAGACTTGATCAAGAGTGGCGACCACGTCGAGTCAAACGTAGTGTTGGACGCGCTGCGGCAAGATGGATGGACGACCGGAGAAAGATGGCGCGCGGAGACTGGATGCGGGCGGCACACGACCGGAAGGGATGGCCTGCCGTGTGGGAGACTTACGTCCAGCAGTGGATGCGTGTAAGCTGATAATGATAATTAAAATCCCATCCAATCCCTTAATTGACTTAATGTTCCGGTGTACCTTCCAAATCTTACTTAGAATAAATCGACGTAAAGTCATGCCACAGGGCCATGTTCATGCATGATGACCTTTGATGAACTTTGTTGATATTATTTTGTCGCGTGGCCCTTTGCAACTTTCACTTGTTTTCTATTCAGATGACACATCGAGTGTTCCTAATAAACAAAACAAAATGCAGTCTTTCCGTGAGTCAACTTAATTATAAAACACAAAATGGAAGCGGAAAAAATCGATTAATGTACCTGGAGGTATGATCTAACATAACAACAAAACACTACGAACCAAATATCAAAAACATTAGTCACTGGGAGAAACCATTAACGAGTCTATAACAATATGTTTGTGTTTTTTTTTTGTTTGCCTTATCTGATAGTACTTAATTCGAAATAAGCATTTCGTAGTTCTAGGGTCTTGTAGAACGAAATTCACCTTGATATTTTTCGCGTATGCTATAAAATTATGCAAATAGGAACGCGTGTGTTGAGTATTATTTTCTTCCAAGGTTTAAGTCTATTAGGTTAGTTTTTACGTAGTTACGTAATGCGATCTATTCGTTTGATATGCAATAGGACTTTATATCTACATAATATAAGTGATGTGCAGTGAAACGTTGCAATTAAAAGAAATAAATTCGGATTCATTTGCTGTAGATTGAGCTTTATGACAGCAGATACCTACGACACGTTGTCTGCGTATGATATAGGTAATGCTTGATTTGTTTGAACAATACTCAGCTCGAATATACTGATACATTACCATAAATATAACAATGTAAATTCACAGTGAAAAGGTGTACACAATTTGTGAAGGACTTCTAACAATTCCACCTTATCTCACGTTTGGCATCGCGTAATTTGCGTAAAAGAGGTCACGAAAGTAAGCTTAAAATTACGAAGTGCCGAATAGCCCCTTCATAGGGTTAAGAAAATTCTACTAACAGTCCATACGTGAGCATATTTTGACAAATATTTCCTAAATGATGCAAGACAGTGACTAACAGAACCAAAATGAAAGAGTCAAAAGCCCAAGCGACTGACTCCCTTACACTTTGATGACTAAATATCGCACTGCTCTTACAATTTTGACTGCCTCTGTGGCCGAACGATTACCATGCCGGAATGCCACGCAGAGGTTCCAAGTTCGATTCCCGGGCCGGGAGAAATATTTGTATGGCCTACATTTATTTCTGTCGTGAGTTTGGGTGTAATTTGTGGTTGTTTATGTGTGTGTCCATGGCACCCGCGACACAGGTTTTCCCTAGTGCGGGGCTATGTTTAGTGTGTGCGTAATTTATTTATTTATTTAATTGTTAACTTACAATATGTGAAATTCAAGTTATAAATTCATTAAACTACTACTGAATGTAAAATTTTAATCTGTACACATTAATACAACCGTGTCGTCGTTAGAATATTGTGAGATACCATTAATAGTTATACAAACTTTTAATTATCTATTTCGAGACAAAACAATACGTACTCAAAAATATGAAATTATTTATTCCCTTTTATTTTTAAATATATTTGGCAAGTAGGAAATTGTTTAGATGTCTGCAATAAACATTAACTTATACATAAATTGTAATAAGTTTTCATTTATAAAAATGGAAAAAAAATACGTTTCATATCGATTCTGAAAAAAATATTTTTTTTAAGTTAATACTTTATTGTATTAATAGTGCGGTGCCATTCCAAGCCATTTTGTCTTCTGTAGAGGTAGTATATCACAGATTGTGTTCATTTGAAAATAGTTTTCATACTCACTATCCAATATTCCAAGCAGAGTGAAAAGCGGGATGAGCAGACATGGCTCCTAGAGGCACACCAAATTCGAACTCAATCTTGACGTCATCAGGTCGTCTAGGCCAGGAACTTCGAGCCCCTTCACGGGGTTCTAGCCCGTTTGCTTTTGTGTCGTTCGTCATTGTCGTTCTTCGTTTGTGTCTTCGTGGTTTTATATTCTTTTTCGCAATAGTTCTTTAAATAGTTACCCCCAATAGTCTTTTGATTTAGTATTATTTCATAAAGGATATTTGATTTTTATTTCACTGTAATAAATTTCGGAAAGCGACTTTTTTTATTCTTATCTGTCAATGTCACATTATTAATTTACTTACAATTTTTTTTAATGATTGTACAATGTTGCACGAATATTCAACACCTTGAACAGAATTTTGATAAACCACATACATAACGTCATATTAAATAAATCCTTGGCTTATAATCATTCACGCGTTTCCGTAGACGTTCTACATAAAAACGCTACGCGGCTACGCGGACAACGTGGTGCGAGCGTTGTAGAAAACATACTGGCATGTAGCTTGGCCGCTCGCCGGCCGATGACCGCCACACTCATTACCATTTCAATAACGCCCCCGCGAACTGCCCTTAAAATAACTAGTACTACCTGAAAAATTTATTAACTATCAGAATACAAGAAATTTAATATGACGACCTAGAAATGATTCATAAGTACATAAATAACGTAGTTAACGCTTCCCTAGTTTTGTACATAGACTTAAAGAATCATGTTAAGCTGTGCGTGGCACCCGTTTACTTAGTTCCTTGATTCAGGCACCCAAAGAACTTCGGACACTAAAAGACACCACTCTGTTCTCTTCTACTTCATTTGGCAGGCGTTTAAATCGGGTCACCCGGCAATTAGGTTCTATTTAAAAATATCAACAATATTGAAAATTAATAACGTTATTAAACATTTAATATACTGTTACAAGAACGAAACGTAACATTAATGTAACAACAAAATAAGCCTAAAACCACAAAACATCACACATCAAACAAAGTAAATGCGTTTAAAAGTGATAAAACTAATATAAATGTAGGAGACAAGACATAAGATCTATCGACAGTGGTACGAACAAAACTGGTTTCATAATTTTTTAAATAAGGCATATATTTCATTACCATATTTAGCATAGGTGCTCTTTCAGCAGTTATATTGTTCAAAGCTTCTGCTTCACTCGCAAAATTCTGGCGCACTATTCGATTATTCTCAGGATCAGAGAAATTTGTATCATCAACTGGTATGTTTTCTACAGCAGGAATAACGTGAACGGCATCATTTATTTCTGTAATATCACTGATTTGTGCAGGTGTTCCGTTTTCTGCTTTTGGGTGTTCTCCTATATCTCGTCTGACCTAGCGTTAAAAAATAAATAAAGTCATACCATATTTATACATAGTCATCTTCATCAACATGTGACAAAAAACATCATAGTCATTTTAAGTGATACATATTCACAATTTAATACTTTAGCTTATATTGCGATATCAGAAAAGTGTGTTTACATTGTAACAACAATAAAATTAATTCGTTGATTAAATACCTAATAAAACTAGGAAAATCCCTGTACTATGAGAAGCAAGGAAATTCACCCTACCCAGAATATCAAGACCAGAGTAAACATTGAAAAGTTCATTTCCCAAATTGGTCCTACCGGGAATCGAACCCAGGCCATCCTCATCCAGCGCCGCACGTTGCAAACCGTTGAGCTATCGAGGTCGTTAATTACCGTTAACATTTAATTATTTTATAAGTTAATATTTAATGTACCTAATTCAATATTTGTCTTACCTTTGTGGAAGTAGATGTATACATGCTATCATTGACTGAAGTCATAGTTTCCATTATCGAAGACAACATTTCGGTAATCGAAGAGATTGTTTCTTCAGTTTCAGTCGACATATAAAGATCTAGCTCCTCATGGATACGCTTAGCCATTTCCGCTATGAATATGTATAAAGAAAATAATATCGAAAGTACTTTATAACCTTAATGTTTAAAATAAAAGCAAAAACTTACGATCAGATAACAATTCATCGATCATTTTGTCGGTGTCATTAAATTTATCGCTAAGATTGGCCAATAAACGAATGTACGACGAGATAGTAATTTCAGTTGGTACTGTGCTTATGGCTTCGCTGTCTACGACTTTTGTAATGAAGTTTGTCAAATTTATATCATCTGTGAAAAGGATTTTTTAGGAACAAAAGTGCAACAACGTTTTTTATAAACGAATAATAACCACCACCAACATATTATTTTTATTACCAGAAATAAAAGTGGGGTAATCAATAAAGACACGAGTTCTTCCTTTCATCTGTATTAATTCTTTTTTAATTATTTATATTGATAAACGTTTTTTTTTCATTTGTAAACATTTGTAGAACAATAATATATCTACAAAGTCAACAACTTACCGCTTAAAGAAATTATAATGGTCGGAATAACTGATGTTGCAGGAGACGATAATACAGTAGCGGCAGTTACACTATTAGAAGTCTTATCTTCAAAACCCTCTCCATAAATATAGTCGACGTATAATTCTTTAAAATTTGCGGGTAAACCGCTCTTATAGGTATTGCCGATGTACATCCCTGGATTAAAAAATAAAAAATTAATAATAGCTTTCATTCTACCTTGCAGAAATGGAATGATTAATATCTTGGTATGTAATAACATAAACCGTAAATTAATACGAAAAATTAATCATCATTAATTTGTGTAATGAAATTAAATATCAAAAGAAATCTTACCCTCCTCTGTAACACCATTGTTCAAGTTTAGTTCTTCAATATTATATGACTTTGGCCTTCCCACAACACTGGCGTCTTTAACCAATTTACCTTTAAATGTCACAATTTCTTCATCTACACCATCAGGTGTTTCTTTTGAGTGCTTTTCTTCGAACTGTATTATTGTACTAAGAGGTACATCAGGGACATCTCTTTTTTGTACTGAATTGACGATTTCTGGACTATCTACATTGGATAATGTAGCTACGGCGAGTTTGGTTAGATATATCTCATCTAAGCTACCAGAATAATTCAGAGAATCATTCTTTTCGATAGCGAATAAGGAATCTAATAATAGGTGTTCCTCTAAAGTCATCACATGATCTTGGTCTTGAGACTCGTCGAGGTACGATTCTGGAATAAGTTGATAAAATTTTTAAGGCATCGATCGCGTCTAGACTTACGGAGTTATTGGGCACTACATGCTGTTAACCAAATTAAAATCTATTTTGTTTTGTATAGGATCTGCGTTTTAACGTGTTTTAAAACGTGTAGAAATTTAAATTTGAATACGTTTGCAATAAGTTATTACTTGACGAAGTAGAAGTGAATCAGACAGACTATTTTTATAAGGTGGATACCGTTTATGAACGAACGTAAGTTAAATAAATACTAACGAAAATCACACAGTGCAGGATACACATTATCCTGAATAGCACGTGGTGGGCATATGCTTGCAGGTTTAGATGGTATCCATATTGGTCGACCCTGGAATGGGCCTTGCGGGGCGAAGTTGCACACTAACCGCTCCACACTTCGGACACGGTCCTGTAGAATTGCCTGCGTTGGTAAAATTAGATTAATCCACGATAAATACTTCTCCCAAATCCCAACTCCATCATCGTAACTATTTGTAAAGCAAAGTTGGACGGGGACTTGAGGTCTTATCGTCAACAGCCAACAATGAATTTAGGATTTTTTTAAGCGACACGCCTGTTCACAATAGTTGCAGCACGACTCAGAGCTTTAAAGATCTGAGGGACACTGCCACATAAGTTCACAAGTGCATAAGCCTGTAATTTCACTAGCACACTTCAAAACCCGAACGCAATAATACTCACATTACTACTTGGCGGTAGAAATAGGCAGGGCTCTTTTACAAGAAGCTCTACTGCTATTAACAATGTGAAACATTTTAAATAAATTTCTTTGTTTTGCTAATGTCTTTAGGCGGCGGTAGACACTTTATATTAACGTGGACCATTAGACTGCCGGTTTGCATATAATAAAAAATCTAATAATGTACGAAATTTAATATAACACTTACCATAAATTTACTGCGAGCACATCCAACCATATAGGTTTTATAATGTAATATTTGTGCAAAGTCGCCGTAATAGCTATTGTTATCTTGAGGACTGCAAATAAATTTTGAAGTTCAGCTGCGCTTGTCACAACGCTTGGCTTAGTTTTCTTTCTTAAACGCCATAAATTGAAATATTTTGTAGACAATACTCGAAAACAGCACAAAAAAGCAATTAAAAAATTATATTTCTTACTTCCTGTAGGCGTTAACATCGCGCTTATAATGAATGCTCTGCATATACCAGATGTCGACTATGGTCTCTGGGCGAAGGCCGGGCGCCTCGCCCACCACAGACGCTACACACTGGCCCACAGGTGTCGCATCTAAATAATTCAATTAATAAAATTCACATTATATATTGTTCTCATTTCTCGTGTTCACAAAATTATTAGTCAAATATGCTGCTCGTATGCGGATTTAAATAGTATAGTAATAGAGCTTGTGCTTTTCAAAACCATTTGGAAAACAATTTAAACGTACACTTTCAACTTTTCATAAGTATTGTCGCGAATGGCTACTTACACAGCAAGCATTTTGAATGGATTCATACTGATAGAGTTAATTATAAGTTTCGACGACTTAAATTAAATATTTAGTTACAATACTTTAACAATGTTATGGCAGAATAACAGAAGCCGTGGGTCTCCCGCGACCTTTGAGTCATAAATAGAGATGGGTTATTACCCGATAAATGTCCGTCAAAGGATAAATATAAAATAAATATCCAATTTCACTGAGTATTTATCCTAAAACATAGATAATTATTTTTTTGCTTTTTGTAATAAAATTCATTAGAATTCATTTTTAATTAAATAATTACGTTTTTGCCATTCTTTTATGTCACAATACTGTTTTAGTACCTACGTTTTTCGAGTCGATAACATCTCACTAATGGTAGAAATGTAAACTAATTCCAACATACTCACCTAAACTTTTGTCAACATAAAACTTGGCTATGGCTATGGTATAGAAAATTCGATTGACAGAAAGTTATCAAATTAACTGTAACCCTTGAGCCGACCTATCCTGCGTTAATAAAGTGCGACCCAACTTTATAGTCTTGTGGTCTAATGCGTACTAAATAAAGTCATGTTTGGACTTAAAACTTCCGTGGCTTAGTTGGTATAGCGTCTGTCACGGTATGCTAGAAGACGTCGGTTCGAATCCGGCTGGATCGAAGCAATTTTTTCTGAATGTTCGATCTTCGTATTAATAATTCCATACAAAATGTTAGACAGCTGATTATTATTGTGTGGAGACAATTCTTTTTTTAACAAACTACGCATTTAAAAAATAATAAGGTTCACGCAAAAATACAGGGATTTACGGTACTTAAAAGTATTCTTTTTATTACTGCGTATAGAAAAATTTTTATAACAAGCAATATATATACTATACGTACATGCTACTGAATTGTATCAATGTTTACAATTAAGTTTCAAAATATACTTTGTTTTATTAATTATAAATAATAAACCACGATTTAAAAATATTTATCCAAGTTTTTGAATAAATATCGAGTAAAAATGGATATTTATCCTAAGTATTTATCTCAATGTTATTTATCCATGACCACATCTATTCATAAGCCGTTTCGTCTTGCTAATTAACACTGTGTTCGAGATTATTATAATATGTATCAGTTTTCAAGACAAATAAATGATATTTATTTTTAATTATTAAACTGTAAACAATCAGGTTTGGTTAAGGACTGCTACTTGACAAAATACATTCAATTCCTTTGTATTTATATCGATATACGAATATGAATTTACGAAAAGTATTCCGTGTATTATTTGAAAATTTAAAGTTTGTAAGTTCGCGAAAGCGCAATGTTTCGTTTTTTTAATCTAAAAGAGCGAAGGAAATAAAACAAACTAAGTTACTTTTCTATGAGATCAAAAAAGTAACATATCAAATGAAAACTTATTATGTAATTTACATGCATTACACGTATGTAATTTATTATATAGTTTACTCATAACTAAATAAACGCTTGCAAAATCAACAAAGTATAATACTTATTATCTTAAAGCCAACAACAAATTCAGTTATTGAAAGTTAATTAAACAAGTGAAATAAACAATCACTTTCTTTGTTAAATCATAAATTTAAATTATAAACTTGAAAATTAAACTAGTTTTTTTTTGCTTCGCTATACAAAATTATTTATTATAACTGAAATTTATTAGTGGTATTTGTCGTGCCTTTTGTACGTGCGTACTTAAACGCATTATAGGCCGAATATTCGGGTATGCAACCACGCTCCTAACCGAAAATCCGGCATTCGGCCAGGACGAATATACTATTTGTTGCAATACTAATAGACGTTTTTACCTTTCTAAATAATCTACTATATAAACTTCATGTTATAAGATTTTAAAGAAGTATTAATATATAGTAGTATAGTATAGTATAAATATAGTAAGAACATGAACAACGTCGTGATACTTATTCAATACTAGCGCCACAATTTCTAGGTCCACAGATAACTTATCAGCCGCAAATAATTAACAAATATTGAAAAGGGATTTCATTTAAAGGGTACTGAGAGAAAACCAAAAATCCCCTGGAATATGAATGACGTTGTTAATTGAAATTAAAAAATTACATAATTCACGGCATATGTCGTGCTTCTCAGGCTTGCTAGGCATGCTACATTGATCCGCCCAGATTTGGGCTTCACGCTCCAGTTCGCCTACCCAGCGCTGCAATCACAAACAATACGATATACTGAAGTTTTCGTAAATCTATACACTATTGATCTTGATTCACTGGAACTGTGTGCTAAAATAAGATAAAAATAAAGAGAAGTTTATTCTGTATAAAAATTTAACTTATTATATATGTGCGCCATAATTATTTATTTATATATGCGCCAGTAAAATCCTAGGATGCTGGCCCTAGTTGGAATCAGCGTAGATCCTCATTTTGAACGTAAATTAGGCCTATAATAATCTCACATCAAATACGCAATTCACCTGCAAAATAAACTGAATAAAAAGCTTCGTGGCGGGATACTAACCCGGGATGCTGATATATAAGTAAATGTCAATATGCTGCATTTAACAGAGGTTATTAATTATAATGAAATAACTTAATTATAAAAGCACTAGAATACTGTAAATAAATATTAGACGACATAACATTCAATTGCTCTGATTTCAAAATAAGTAGGTAACTAAATCATTTGTGGTAGGTACTCGGAAACAACGAAGGTACCATAAACACCCACACCCGAGACAATATAGAAAAGTTAGTTTGTCTACATTCACCCGGCCGGGAATCGAACCCGGGACCTCAGAGATGGCGACACCATTAAAACGGGTGTGCAAGCCATTCGACCACGGAGGTCGTCAAAATGTGATACGAACCTTAGGTAACTTAAATTGAGAAACAACTAAAATATTAATGTTTCGAGTGACGTGCAGGCAATGACGTCCCGAACAGGCGGGAATTGGACTCTTGGTGTTATGATACTATGCTACAAAGAAAACCACGCGTACCGATTAAATACCCAACGTTAGTCGTACCAATTTGAGCATATTCCCCGCGGGCGGAAAACCGCGCAAGCGCCCACTGGCAGCTGCGTTGCGCCGAGTGTTAAGCCTATGCAATAATTCAGCCTTTTCTCGCAGCGTCAGTTGTGTGTGAATGTAGCCTGCGCATTGCAATCCGGGAACGTTGTGCTGTATAAACAAATACATCATTTACAATGAATATGAACATTAGTATCGAACACAAAGTGGTAGGTCTATACCCGGTAGTACCTACAACGAAACTAACTTATATTAGCAAATTACTTATATTAGCGAGAAATTATTCTGACACAATGAATAAATCACAGTAACACGCGTGTGATGTCTCTACACAGTAGTTGATCTAAACCTATAAAACATTATTCACACTTTAGATATTATATCGACCTTTATTCCGCTTAGGCACTTTAGGAACGATACAAGTTCAATCTGTAGCGCAACTTTTGGCTCTAACCGCAGCTCGCAGGTAGTCAAAGGCTTCCAGTAATTAATAGACTAGATGAATATATTCAAAACTCACAGGATACATGCAAAGTATGTGATCGTCAGTGTGCCCGCACATCCTGGAACCGCAGTAGTTAATTAAAGCACTAGTTAGTGCTGTCAAGTTGCAAAAGAGCACTGCTAAAATGTATCGCATCATGAGCTCACGGCGCGCAATTTTAATCAACATTTCTTAGTACTTTTCATCCTTCAATTGAATTTATGAATACTTTTATATTTTGTTAAATTTTGATACACCTTTTTTCTATTATTTATGACTTTTTGTGACTATTTACTTTTTTCAATGGCTCCAAGAAAAATTGTTTTCACAACCTTTTTAGAAACTATTCTTTTTACAGTCTGTCTAAAGGCGCCGTTAAATTTAGGCTCAATTTATATTGCGGCGGAACGGAATGGAAGCGAAATTCATTGCACTATTCATAATGAACTTTATGGTCAATTGTGTAACGTACAACCTAAATACGAGCTAAAATCTTCCGCGGAATTCTCGCGCACGCTCGCGCATTCGCGCGATTTTGGCTCGTATCTGTACGTTACACAATTGACCATAAAGTGCAATGTACAATAAAGTTACAAAAATTTGCTTCCATTCCGTTCCGCCGCAATATAAATTGAGCCTTAGACGCTGACTGAAGCGCTGCCAGTACCTACCACTATTGTGGCGCTGCCAGTACCTACCACTATTGTGGCACTGCAGCTGCGTTACTACTAATTTTCATACAATATTTGCAACGCCACATACGTCGTGACATACGCGCGCCACTTTTGCAATGCCAATTATTGAACTAAACATTATGAAGCGCTCCAGACACACGGCTGCTGCAGATTTTGTGTTGGACTTGTAATGGATCCGTCGCTCTCCGTGTACATTTCATCCGAGGTCTAACCATACCCTTGTGACTAGCAAGTCATGAGGGTTTTTCTCTCCTACTCTAGCACCCGACATCAAACTATTGCCGATGAGTGTTAAAATGGGCGTAGTTTCTATATAGGCGGACAATAATCCGACGTCGAGATGGAGTAGACTGACTTCACGCTTATTTCTAAATAACGAAAATCATAGTCCAAGCGCAAAACACAAAAAAATTCACCGAAAATTTACCGAAATTGTAATTTACCAAATGTCCGAATTGCCCCCTCCATGTATCCAAGCCCAGAATTTCCAACTCAAGTCGTAGTCGATAGTTTGAATTAGACATCCTCACGATGCGTCGAGGATACCTTGATACAAATGTGGACCCCAAAAACTACCATAACGAACAAATAGGTGGGCCCAGCCTACTCCATCCCGTCATACAGACACGTTAAGGCTAAAATTGTTCTAAAACCAAATCTGTTCGATCATGCGGAAGACAGACTGTAATGTGATGCAAGGGCATGGTCCAATATAATTAATTATTTTCAATCAGAAAATTATTATTGTCTTTCGGTAACTTACACAACGATTATTTCCCAAATCGAATAAGATGAAGAGATCGAAGTTTGTCAGGAGCGTAGCAGTTGGAGGTCCATGATCTCTGCCTACTCCAGAGGAAGACACGTGTGAAGATATATATGTCTCAAACAAGATTAAAATTTCCCAAAAAAATTTTCTTTGAGTAGAGGGTGTGAAGGTGATGTAGATATTAAAAACCAAAAACATTTCTCCTCATAACGTAATTATAACCTTTAATGTAAATAATTCAAAACATTTATTAACTTACAAATTAGTAATTACAACAGCTGATATACAAATAGTACTATGTTTATAAATACAGAGCTTTCTAGCGACTTCCTATATATTTGTTAACTTGTGTTATGTACAAATGTTATAGTAAGTTTGAAACCAAAGGTAAAATTGTGATATGGAAACTCTTTCCAAACAATCTAATTTGATGCTGATTGGTTGTATACCGTTGTCCACGCTAAAAGCGAATAACATTTTATGGGCGGTAATTACGACTAATTTCATCTACAAAAACTGCCTACAAGTGAGGTTCAATACCGATACTAGCGCATTTTCACTTTTTTAAATAACAGTCGATTAGAAAACTGCCCACGTGAATTGTGATGTAGTTAGAGCCCCGAGATTACAGTCTGCCTAGAAAAACACAAACATCCTACGTACTTGTTTTGTAACGTGTCATGATATTGGAATTCACAATGATTATTTAATATTTTTAATACAAAAAACAATAATACGACTCCTTTTGCATTTAAATCAAGTCTTCTTGAAGTGCAGAATATATAGTCCTACTGTATACACTATTTAGAAAAAGCCCGCATGATTAGTTTTTGAGTTGCATTATAAAACGATACTTCAATTACACCCTTACGATAATGATTTTTTTCAGAGCTCTTGTTCCAAGAATATATCCTTGTTTTACAAAATGTATAACAACAAAAAAATAGAAAAAAAAGAAAATAAGACTATAACCAGAAGGGTGATTTGGTCCTATGTTCACTCTAAAGCTTAGAGAACATCGATCGGGAACATTTTTATGACGGCGAACGTTCACGTCGCAAGCCAAATATTTTTATTTTTGTGACGATAAAACGAACATTGGGCGATAATTCCACAGAACTAATTGCTCTCTTTTTTAAATTTGCTTTGCACGAAATGTCTAGAGCAGCCACTCCCAAACTTTTTTGTCTGTATTTTTGTATAGACCACGTACTAATTATGTTTGTTTTTCCTAGACCACCTATCTTTCTAATAGCGTTATTTTCACAAATCATCACCTTCAAATGTGTATTTGACAGCTAACACAGTGCCAGTGAGAAACTTTATAAAGAAAAAACAAATTGATGTTAAATGAAATGTTTAAGAACTTCATAGGTAATTTATGTCTATTATAAGAAAGTATTATGTATTTACATAAGCACTAATCTGTGTAATGTGGCTTATTCCATTTGTGGAAAGCTAAAATCTTGACTTGGGTTTCACTCTCGCGGGCTCATATTAACATCCATGCATGCACCCCCTATTTTTTTCGCTGCCATGGTTCTATTGTAGGTTTTGTGGACTCCATGAGGTCAATGTAAACCAGTTTGGGAATCATCGTTCTAGAGCATCTTCCAATAATTGCTAAAGCTGCACTAGAAAGGTCGCAAAACGAACGTAACTGGTGAGTACCGTCATACCGTCCTTTAGATTGAACTATACATATACTACCAAATTGACATGTCTAATTTGATCGATGATATCGGGAAGAAGTCTATTTTTGCATCAGGAATTCAAGCATGTGCGCTAACCAAATAAGAAATGATCTCTAGCGTTGACACCTATATTCTGATTTATATTCGTAAGTATTTTTATAGGCCGTGAGAATGCCTTTAATAGACTAGATTCCATTGTGGCACCTATGTTGAGCACTTAACACTTCGTCCTATCGCAGTTTCGTTGGATAATTTTTTATTATATTTATAAATTTGTACGTAAATTTCATAACCTTCGTCAATGCCAATGTAGTGGCTAAATATATATTTATAAAGCTTAAACTTGAAAGAAAATAAAGTTTAATTAATTTATGAACGTCCACATAATGTACATAATAATATCAACATATGTATACTCCGTTTATCAAAACAGTATTATACTTATACAAAATGATACTTGCTTTTTGTGATGGAAAAATATATATATATACAACAGCGAACTGAACAGGAGTCACAATATTTCTCTGGAAGACACTAAGACTGAGATTTATAAAAAGAACTTTGACTTCTACTAAGTAAAGATAGCGAGCTAAGAGCTAAACAAGTTTTTCGTATTTATAAAAACGAACGAAATTATGTGATGAATAAATGCTTTACAACAGCAAACTGAACAAGTGTCGCATATAATTCCCTAGAAGACACTAGGACTGAGATTTAAAAACCGAACTTTTAAATTCGACTAAGCGAATAGCGAGTCATACAAGTTTTATAAAAACGAACTTACACTAGAGTCACATTAGATTTATGAAAATGTAATTTATGTTAAGAATAATAGTCATTTTTTTAATGAAAAATAGTGACAGACAACATTAATATGAGGAATAAAAATAAACTAGCAGTTCTCTACAACGGGTCAGTCGGCTGCTAGTTTATTTGTAAATCATTTTATATTTAAATATGGTATCCCAAAAGAGATAATTACGGATCAAGGCACCGAGTTCATGTAATGGTGTTATGTGAATTGCTAAAAATCACTCCACTGCGTATCACCACGAAACTATACAAGCGTTACAGAATACGCATAAAAGTTAAGGTTCTTAGGATACAGTGTAGTATTATAATAATACGATTGATGCGAGCACTTTGCTACCATTTTAGTGTTTACCACTAAGATCGTATGTTACGAAAAACAAAGTCACAAATTCATTTAAAATTCCGGTTGATATTCAAAATTGGCTTTGCCAAGGTTTAAAACTATACTGAAACAATACTTAAGGTTATTATACAACTTCTGCGTACTTGACTGATAAAAACCGTGGTAGTGACCCGTTTAGCCCTTGCAGGTTATCTCGAATAAATATTGTAAACGGTAAATGTGTACAAATGTTTATTTACAAAGGCAACCCCAACTGTTTCTTGACATTCTTCTCAGGGGAAACTGCCTTACGAATGAGCAGTAGAGTTTAATCAATATGACAATTTCAAGTGCAATTTGCTTGTCTACGAAATAAAGATGGTTTCCCTTTGAATTTTTAAAAAACAGTTTAAGAAAGAAATTCGAAGTAAGAATTAATTTAATCGCTTGCTTAAACGTTGCTTAGAAGAACTCAAAGTTCGTTTTATAAATTCAGCCTTGAGTTTTTAACAGCTATAAAATATACATAAATATATAAAAACCTCACAACATCCGTTTAAAATTAAAGCATACAAAATTCAATGGTAAATGATGACAAATTATTTCTGGACTCTAAAATTCTGACTCTAATATTGACGTTTGACAAAAATTCTTGGGTAAGAGTCCAAATTTAATTTGCCATCCAATATAGCGAAATTGAAAATTACAAAATTAGCAAATGCAATGTCCTGTCGCTTAATAATCGATATACCGAGCCTCACTCGTCTCCTGGCTTCGGTAGATAGTACATTGAGTCTATGAAGTATTTAGTGATGTCCGAGACTAGACTGCGGTCGGATATTTCTTGCGCTACGCCATATATCGCCATCTGTAACGTTAAGCCACGCCTTTAGACATAAGCTGGCACACAATGTAATTTTTTAATTACTAATTAAGTGCGCTGTAATTTTAATATTAACAATAATAATGCAAAAAGCGCTCCTGATCGATATGGCACGTATTGTTCTGCGTTTGTTGAACCTGAATCCTTGACCCCGACCAACAGAGCTATTGCCGGGGAAAACCGCCTCTCCCATTTAAAAATTCTAAATTAATCTTAGTTTATTTTTATAATTTAGTTGCGACATTTAACACTAGTAGAGTCCGTAAACTACTGACCTTCCCCTGGACAGGCCCGTCGGTGTCCTTGAGACAGGCGCTTACAGCATCGCGCACGTCGTTCACGAACCTCGTCGCCACACCCGGCTGTGTATGCGCATGCGTCACGCAAATGTGTATCCTGCACGAAACATACGTCATTAGGGGTAATTTCAAGAACAGACACGTAATTAGGTATCCCTATAAGCCTCTATATCATCGTTTCCCAAAGTGCTCCCCTAGTCCTGGGGGCGATAGGGGGAAGAAGCAATTAGGGGGCGTTGATGCCAGGGGTGCTTCCGCATTTGAAAAAAAAACTGAAAAACTAAATTATCTATACATATAACATTTGAAAGTGAGACATACTTATAGAGTGCGTTATATTACTGATTCTGAACGAAAAGAACTAATAAACTTAAACTTTACAAAAATATTATTTTTATCGACTACTACTTGTGAACAACATTAGTTATCGAAATCTATGCACATCACCGTTATTGCTCCGATGCAGCGGCGAGCGGCGGCGGCGAAAACAAAGCACAAGTCGGAGGTGGGGGCGCGAGCGCATATGCGAAATTACTGTTTGCAGAGACAGTGCACGCGCGACCTTGGTCTAGCGAAGACATGTAAATTATTTGTACTTCCGCTCGCCCGCAAAATGGTTATTTATTCCAAAGACGAATTGACTGATATGGTGCGACTTTACGCAATAAGTGGTGATAGTGTGAGGAAAGCTATTGAAATGTTCGGAGAAAAGTTCCCAAATCGGAGTTAACGCGGAGGAGGTGAACAGTGTCGAAGTGTTGCATGAGAGGATCATCTCAGCATCCAATACTGTGTGACAAAATGAGTTTGTGTTGACCAATTTAAAACAAAATTTACTACGACGTGTTAGTCTATGCATTGTGGAAAACGGTGGACATTTTTAACACCGTACCACGTAAGGGTAAATAAACTGTAAATAACTAAAAAATCAATCATTGCAAATAATTTGATTTCACATTTTTAACTACGCCAAAAACCTCAATTCTTATTAAATGATAACTAGTTACTAAATCATAAACTTATCTTTTTTTTGTACGTAATACATTTCGACGATAGTGCAGAAGTAAAAAATAATTAACATAAGCTAAAATCATTTCGATAACAACTTTTTTCATCATAACATAAATGAGTTGGTGAGTAACTTAGTTTTTATTTTCTAGAAAAATGAGGTGCTTTGTCGGTCCTAAGCCCGAAAAAGTAGGAAAGGAGATGCGAAATCATTGTTATTGTTGCTATCGCACTCAAAACATTACGCAGGAGTGTGCGAGCGCCGCCGCTATCCGTCCGCCGGGCGGGTGGGACAGGCGGCGCGACCCTCGCTTGTTAATATTCTCATTGCACTCAAAATCAAGCGTAAAGTGAATCGGTTTATTCCTATGTATATTCCAAAACAAATTTGTTGATTTATTTTTTGTTCTATTCCATATCCTATTTTTATTTTAGTCTATGTTAAATTGTAACATGATTTACTATGACATGTATGAATATGTCTCACTTTCAAATATACAGCCTGTATAAACTACTGCACTACAAATATATTTTTTTTTCCTTGTGATTTTTTGTGTTAAGTTAAAAAATAAGTGTTTTCAATTATTTTTAGTGGTGGTGGGAGTTGAAATTTTTTTATCTTACCTAAGTGGGCGGTGAGTCTAGAAGTTTGGGAACCTATGCTCTATATGTTAAACCGGTGTCCCTGCGCAAACCTCAAATGATCCGCTGAGACATAACAATGATAAATGTATCAATCACGTGGAAAATGTGAACCTGGTACTATGAATAACAAAACTGATTTAAACAAACCAAAAAAAAACAAAAAAAAATCCAAAGTTTACTCAACGCGACGTCATTTCTGTCTATAGATTTTTTATTTCTTGGCTTTTCGAGGTTAGTGTTTCAGCTACTTACAAAGTATATTTATTTGATTTAGTGTATTTTTTACCTTTTATATTTATAAAAAAAGCCTTGGTAGCCTAATGGTTTAAACTACTGCCTCTCAAGCAGACGGTCGTGGGTTCGAATTCTCACTCGCACCTCTGAGTTTCTCGGAATTAATATGCGAACTTTAATTTGAAATTTACCATGAGCTTTTCGGTGAAGAAAAACATAGTGATGCAAACCTGCACGTCGAAGAAGATTCACAGCCCTCGGAAAACGTGAGAAGTTCCCAACCGATATTGAGCCAGTACGGCGGACTATGGCCTAAACCCACGCCTGATAGGAGACCCATACTTTAGTAGCAGTAACGCTCCTTGTGAAAGAGTTCATCGTGGACAGTACTGCCACCTTACTTATTTCTGCCGCCAAGCAGTAATGTCAGCATTGCTGTGTTCCGGTTTAGGCACATGGTACTTGTCAACTTGCGCAGTGGCAGTGCCCCTCAGATCTTTGCGATTTAAAGCCCCGAGTGGCGGTGCTACTGTTAAGAATAGCCGTGTAGTTAACGATCAGGTGCACGATTTGTTCGTCCCACCACTTAATATTATAAAAATAATAATAATAAAAGACCCGCGCCCAGCAGTGGAACGTATAAATGAGTTGAAGATGATGACTCAACTAGAAAACTTCCTATACCTTTACATTAGTACCTTGAGACATTGTTCTATGGTCCACAATATTATGGTGATTAATAAAAGATGATACGAACTAACCCAGAAGGGAACTGCAGCGCGTTAAGACTCCAGCCCTTCTTGTGTAGTAAATCTGCGAGTTTGAATATGTCGAACTGCTTCGAACCGAACGCCACCACTGTCGTCGTAGGCTTGCCGAATATGAAAATGCCCTCCACTTTTCGCAGTCTGTAAAAATAAACGTGCAGTGATATTTATCCCGGATAAAAGCGTGGTTAACCGAATTGACGTAAACGGATGAGCGAATTAACTATGCTACAAAAGGCATATTGTGAGCGTTTCGTAGGTACATAATCGTAAGCCAATTCAATACAAAGATTTGTAGCAGGCACATGGAGAAAATCGTAAGATCAGCTGAATCAACCTGTAGCTTAGTTGGTACGGACGGTAGCCACGTTGAGGCAACAGACACTGTTTCGAGTCCAGTCCGATCGATGAAATTTTTATTTGTGTTTGTTCGATCTTTGTATCAATAATTATATCAATGCAAAAGTTTACAGTGACCCAGTGTTTTTGAAGACGTGCATTAAGGAGACCTATCTATATTTGTGATTCATTATAAAAGCATCAAAAAAGGTAATTGAGTACGGCCTGTAGAAGCTGGGGTTATAAAGTTGATATAGGTTATGTTTATATAAAGAACTTCCCGAATATTCCCAAATCTGCCAAACTCTGCCACATTTAATATAACTTATTAAGTTCTGCAGCAAGGAGAATAAATAAAAATTTAATCTGCCCAAATGGCAGAAATCTGTCACAAATGATCGCACTGTTCTCTATATCAATGTAACATTGACATTGGCAAGAGGTCTTTTGTAAAAAGGTTCCTTTGCAACTTTCGTTATCTCTCATTTAAATATTGTCTAAATATTTTTGTCACATTGTGTTTTATTTTTTGCTTTATGTCATTACTGTTTAATTGATTATTTCATTAGGTATTTTATAGCTTTACTGTTTTATGAGTATACTATAAAACAACCATTACTTCAGATAGGTAAACATTCAATCATGCTTAAAATGAAAGTACGTATAAGAACGTTACCTAATCTATGGTCGAACTGAATGAATTGCGTTGTGTTCTTGTATCTATCCTAAAATACAATGTTTTACAATTTTTTTTATTTCCGACTTCTAAAAATATACAAAAATATATTGATAACTAGGCATAAACTAAAACGCAAAATTATACTAGCAAAGTCCACGAACAACTCTTCGTCGTTATTGGGACAGCTTTCGCCATCCTTCTTTAATTTTAATATATAATATTAGTAAATTTTTTTGTAGCAATATAGGTCCTTGTGAAAAAGTTCGTCCAGAAGTGCAAGGTGGAAGTACAGCCACCTTACCTATTTCTGCCGCCAAGCAGTAATGTGAGCATTACTGCGTTCTGGTTTCAAAGAGTAAGGGTACTGGTGAAATTACAGGCACATGAAGACTTATCAACTCTGTATCAGGGTGACGGTCGCAGTGGCAGTGTATCTTTGTTTTAAAGTTTTAAGTGGCACTGCAACTGTTATGGAGAGGCATGTCGCTTACCATCAGGCGCACGACTTGTTCGTCCCGTCACTTGATATCATTAAAAAAATACAAGTCGTGCAACTAATGGTAAGCTACACGCCTGTCCAACAGTAACTTCCTTGCAAGTGTGGGACCAGAAAGGCAATTACAAAAGTTCGGGCCACTAAACTTGAATCTGTCCTCTATGGCTAATTGCTTACTTACCGCCCGCCCTTGCGGTACTCTGCATCTCTACCATGAGTTTACCTTGACAGTTGTCGCTAGTGACCGCGTAAATTACTTCTCAATTCTGTATGACAAATTATACAACGCCTCTAGTGGTCACAAGAAGAAACAACATTTTGTATACAAACGTTTTACGTGGTCGCTAGCGATAACTGTCACTATGTGTGTCAAGTTATTACGAGCAACAAAATCGACTGTATTAAAAAATTAATGAACTGACTCGTTCTCAATAAATCTGGCTGCAGTGACGATCTCATCAGCCATCTGCACGTATCTTGCCTCGCCAATGAACATCATGGTGGCCCAACATGCTGCAATTAGACCACCCGCGCGACTACCTGTAATTAAAAATAGCAAGTATGGATCCGTAACCTACACCACTGAGTGTCTGTATTATAATATATTCTACGGTGAATACGAGCTCCTCCAATTATTCATATAGGGAAAACTAAAGGTTTTAAAAGGATGATTAAAAGAAAAAAATCCTGGCTGAAAATCAACGCCAGTGATACCACCACACTAGATCTGTGGCTTTAGTAAAAAAAGAGGTACAAGTCAAAAATGACAACTTTATAAGAAAACGCGGAAAACACAACGCTTTAAATTTCATAATAACTATTTTTCGCGTCTCCTTGTAAAGTTGGGTTTTTGACTTGTACCCCTTTTCACTATAGCCACAGAGATAAATATTTCATGCAGCTGCATTAAGAATGCAGGTAGCCATGTTGATTATTTATCAACCTCCAATAGGAAACGGCACTTGTAATAAGAGGTGTATTATTAATCATCAATAGTAAACCGTTCTGGTTTTTGTCTAACTCTCTCGCCCTCCATGCAATCCATCTTTAGTACGTACTCCAAAACAAGCTATTATCTCATCATTTTGTGCAAGCATCTTTTAGACCATCCTCAAAATTCTACATAATGTTGCTGTGGTTACTTATATACCATTACAATTTTATATGTACATGTATGTTTATTATTATATGTATATTAATTATGTTTAAGTTATACCTATTATTATTATTTTATACCATATAAAATAATTACCAAATTTGCTTTAAAAATGGCTTATAGTATCTTGTTATTTTTGTTTAATGGCGGCACTTCACAAGGCTACTTGTATTCGCTATTGGGCGTTCGATGTACGTGGAAAAATATTTGACATACTGACAAATATGACCGTCTACACATGGAGACAAACAAGGAGTTAAACTAATGAATATGACCATAGTGTGGACATTTTACCTGCGTATTTGCCTATTTGGCTCCTTTGATGTGCGTCGAGCATCCGATCAGCGCACGGTAAAGCAAGTTTGATGTTTGTTGTATTTGTCGAATAGGCAAATATTAGGGGTTAAAGTATGAAATTGCCGTTTTATTGCAATA